GTAATCCATGTATCGTTCTTTTTTTCGTTTTTTTTTTTTTTGTAACCCATGATAGAATTTTTTGTAATCCATGATCGAATGTTTTGTAATACATGATCGAAATGTTTGTTTTTTTTTGTAATCCATGATCGAAATGTTTGTTTTTTTTTGTAATCCATGACTGAATTTTTTGTTTTTTGCTTTTTTTGTAACCCATGATAGAGTTTTTTGTAATCCATGATTGAATTTTTTGTAATCCATGATTGAACTGTTTTTTTCTTTTTTTGTAATCCATGATTGAATTTTTTGTTTGTTTTTTTTTGTAATCCATGATCGAATTTTATGTAATCCATGATTGAATTTTTTGAAAATTTGTGACTTTTTTTTTTAATCCATGATCGAATTTTTTTTTGTAATCCATGATAGAATTTTTTGAAAATTTGTGATTTTTTTTTTAATCCATGATCGATTTTTTTGAAAATTTGTTTTTTTTTTTTTAATCCATATTATTCAAAGAAAAAATGAGAGAGATAATGATTCTGAGGCCACCCTATCCCAACCATATTATTCACATATCGAGTCCCAACAGCAACAGTGTAGGGATGAGCACGAAATACTGTAAATTAAATGCTGAATGGCGGTTCATGCAGGGAAAGAACATATCAATATTCGCATATTCATTCAAAAACATGAAAATTCTTAATGGAGTACCCTCATTTTTTATTGAATTCCTAAAAAACAATATTTATAATGAATTTTAATAATTTTTTTGAATTTTTTTTAAGCTTTATTCTGACCGATTCACCCGATTCCCGATCAGGATCGCCGATTCGCCGATCCGGATCGGTTTTTTTGACTGTCACATCTCAAGAATATCAGTATTTTAAATTATTGAGGTGTGACATGGGTGCACTTAAAAAAAATATTAAAAAATATTGTCCGACAATAATAATGACTAAAATACCCTTTGAATATTTCAAAGGTATTTTGATCATTTTATTTTATTGAGAAATTTGTTTATATTTTTTATAAATGCGAGTTAAGAGAGGAGTGGTCGCTCAGAATTTGGTGTCAAAATAATTTATAGAAAGAAGCTTAAAATAAAATAAAATAGTTTGATGGGGCCACGGGCTTATCAAAATAAGTAAATCCTCATCTCATAACTCATTGAAAATTACAAGTCAAGCATTAAAAAATATTTACATAAATCATCTTTACTTGAACATTTTGGTTGTGAAAATAAATTAGGATTTCAAACTCTAAAAATAGTAAATATTATAACAAATTATCTGAACCATCCATTTTGCATTAAAAATAAATGTTCACATATTCACAGTATCTGAACCATTTTTTAGATTTTAAAATTTATTGTCAATGTTGAAAATTAATTTTAGAGCCATCAAAAAGATTTTTTTTGCCAAACGTATTTTTCGGTCGAAGATTTGAGGTGAGATTTTATTTTGTTTTCATAAAACCTAAGCATTATAAATAATGTATAGACATGACATTATGATTGGGGCAATCTGAGCTGACGCCTTAAAATGAGGGATTGGATAAGGAGAAATATATAAGTTTTGGAGTTGTAAAAAAAAACATAGAAAGGTTGCCCTATTAAAAAAAAAAAAAGAAAAAAAAAAAAAATAGCCATCAGGACCGTATCAACGTTGCCGCAATGGGGCTGAATGGTCCCGCCAAACGTAAGTATCTGCTCTCCGTCCATAAGCGTTAACCCAGCAAATGGGCGGTTAAGATGTTTCTGCTCCTCACGTTAATAAAGAAGAAATCAACTGCATCACCGTCCAACTGTCCAAACCATTTAGCGAACGGTGATGAACGTTTTCGTGATCGCCAAACAAAACAAAGTGGACCCATCTAAACATTAAAATCGTTCTATATTCCCTCGAACTTTCCAGAGAGGCCTTCTTCACTCTATAAAAATATCGCTCTCTCTGCCTTTCTCGGATTACCTGGCCAATTGTATTTTCTCTCTGTGTAATCTCATTTCCGTTTCCTTGGTTTGCAATTTGTTTTACCGCGTTTTTTTCCAGTTAGCCCCGCGCTTTTCCATTTTCCGATCAAGATTCTTCGCTTTCCGACGTAATTATCCATTTTCCAGTGTTTTTCTCAGATTTCCAGCGCAAGTTCTCTTTTTCTCAGCGTGTTTTCTCATTTTACTGTCCATTATCTCCAATTTTCCGGCGCTGTTTCTCTCAGGGTTCCTGACTTTACAGGTGATAGTTTCCATTTGCGGCCGTATCTCTCATAGTTTGCGGCATAGTTTCTTGATTTTCCTGGCCATTTTTATATTACAGGCCACCGTCAAGCGTTCGATATTTGATCAAGGTTCATTTTCTTTGACGATTGTCTAAGATTCTAGGTACTGTTCAAAAAAAAGGTTGTCTAAGCTTCTAAGTAAGATTTGTAATTAGTTTGTTTCATTGGACTCTTTGGTCGTTTATCTTGATTTTCAGACGATATTTCTATACTTTTCCTACCAAAATCTCAGCCTCCTTTCTCTTTCTCGTCTGATTTTAGTGAAATCGCACTTAATCCGTTTGATTCCTGGCGGATACGTAATTAAAGTACATTTCCTGGCAAGACCTGGGAATTTCTGGCCAACTTCAGGCGAATCCTTGAGTTTCCGGCCAATATCCAGCAGGCACCATGCCTAACAGGCACCCAGGTATGATTACCCAAGACTGGGAACCAGTAACCATTCACAAAACCAAGCAAAAGGCGAGTGAGCTCAAAGACCCTAAGGCAGTGAACGCAGCCATGAGAGCCGGTGCTCAGGTCCAATCTGTGAAGAAATTCGACGCAGGGTCCAACAAGAAGGGCACAAATGCGCTGCCAGTGAACACCCGCAAGCTCGATGAGGAGACGGAGCCTGCAGCTCTAGAGAGGGTTAAAGTAGAGGTTAGAGCTCAGATTCAGAAGGCGAGGATGGATAAGAAGATGAGTCAAGCTGAGCTCGCTAAGCTTATCAATGAGAGGCCACAGGTTGTTCAGGAATATGAGAGTGGAAAGGCGATTCCTAACCAGATGGTTTTGGCC